ACATTTATAGTATAGTCATGACTGTCTAAACTACCTTATCAAACACATATTTGTAGGATCGACACCCTTCTACAGAATTTATACATTTATAGTATAGTCATGACTGTCTAAACTACCTTATCAAACACATATTTGTAGGATCGACACCCTTCTACAGAATTTAATCATTTATAGTATAGTCATGACTGTCTAAACTACCTTATCAAACACATATTTGTAGGATCGACACACGTCTACAGAATTTAATCATTTACAGTATAGTCATGACTGTCTAAACTGCCTTACCAAACACATATTTGTAGGATCGACACCCTTCTACAGAATTTAAACATTTACAGTATAGCCATGACTGTCTAAACTACCTTATCAAACACATATTTGTAGGATCGACACCCTTCTACAGAATTTAAACATTTACAGTACAGTCACGACTGTCTAAACTACCTTATCAAACACATATTTGTAGGATCGACACCCTTCTACATAATTTAGACATTTACAGTACAGTCACGACTGTCTAAGCCCTACCTTATCAAACACATATTTGTAGGATCGACACACGTCTACAGAATTTAATCATTTACAGTATAGCCAAGACTGCCGAAACCACTTTATCACACACACAAACACATTAGATTTTATAGCAACGTTGCTAACTTTCTAATCATACTTAGATTACGATTTAATACATTCAATATTGTAGCCTTGATAAAAAAAATGTTGTAAATTTCTTATATTTTAAGTAACACAGTTCTTCGTTTGAAACTGCTATGTGATCTTTTATTGGTTAAGACTTGAAAGGGTCATATCGATAAACCCTACATATTTGACGGCGAGTGTGATACGTTTAACAATTAAGTTGTTTCTAAAAATGTCGTTTCTTGTCACATTTCCACTATAGATTTTAAAATTAATGTGAGTTTAGAGCTAATTGTTGAGGCCCATCACATTTATCTATGTTCAACTTATGAGATTTACAATTAACTTACCAATGTTGTGTCGTTAAATCTGTGTCCAAGTCTTCAGCTAGCGCCATCACTGAGAGAATCTTGGCTTGCTCTTCTTCCGAGAGCCTACTTAAATCTACCTGCGGATGGTAAACAGCTGGCGTATGGTTAGGTCTTGGTGGGAATGGTCCAATACCTTGATGACCATCGGCATGTTTTTTATTTGTCCCACCTCGTGGTTTATCTACTTGTGGCACTGGACGTACTTGTTCGCCATCGCCATCTTCCTGGCTCAATTCATTTCCCATCCTTTACGTTTTAGTCGTTACACATCGTTAAACTTTAAAACTATTATTAATATGCGTATCATTTACTAGATTGCTAAATCGTAGAATAGATGGTAAGCCGACAATAACATCACGGTGAACGTAAATACAGGTCTAAAACTACAACCACACTAAAACTTAAATAGTTAAAAGAAGAGTATCATATCATTTAGAATAAAATAACTGAAAAATGAAGAGAAACTGGATGATATTTGACACTGTTGTACTGTCTCGTTGATTGGACGTACTGACGGGTAACGTCGATCAAAAAAAAATACGTTTTTAACTATTTTTTTACTGCTGTTATTACATTTGACAGATATCTACCGAAAGTTAGTACGTATTACCGGCATAACGTGAATATTAATCAAAGCATGCGTACTAACAACATAAAAGAATATACTACAAACCAAGTAAACATACCCTAAATCGTCTAGAAACTAAGAGCTTAACAACTGAAGACTAGAATGCTTACATCTCTGCAGTACCGTGCACGCCTGCTGCAAAACATGGCGGCACGTTAAGCGGCGCGGTATACTTCCATTACACTTTCTGGGGGTAATACTGTGTAAACCAAGAAAACAGACATTACAAGAGATAATAAAAATAAATAATTGGATGATATTTATTTACACTCACAGTAAACCCTCGTGTCTTCCAGATTGACACATACCAGTGAATTAATTTTTTTCATAAACCTCGTAGTAAGTCACATACATGTTTTAAAAATATTTCATCAATATACAAGCTGAATCCTCGTCATATGACGAGAAATAGATAAATTATTCTTCCCAAAATTATATGTAATAAATGTTTTCTGAACACGTCTTTTAAGATTAATTATAATCTAGCAACAATATATGTATGGAGAATGACTATCCTATTTATTTTTATGTAGATTTGGACATCTGCTTTAAGTATTACTTGATTAGCATTTTGGCTTCTGTATATTTTAAAGTTATGTTCAAATTTTTTTCTTGAAACATGCGAAAAAACTGATTCCCAAAGACACATTTCCTACTTGGTCAAATGTACGACTCTGCAAATTATTAACTGTGATGGTAAAGGCAGTGAATATTATTATTAATATCAGTGTCTTCTTTTTGGACTGACTTCCAGTTTTGGATTTGTTAGCCTTCTGAGCTGAAGAAGCGCACCTAGATTTGAGCAATTTGAAAATTGAAATATTCTGCGGGTAAAACATGCGGGTTATTATAGAGTTGTAGCCGAGGGTTCCGATTGGATTAAATTTGGTGATGTTGCGTCAGTGTTTCCTTGACAACCAAGCAAACGTAATGGGGAATTTCAGCCAATGATTATGATTTTTATGCACCAGCAATACCAAGCGTGGGGCGCGCGTATACCCAATTCGATTTTATTACTCATCACGATCTCTACTAACCTACCCTCCAATCTAATTATATGCTCAAAGTAGCGCAACGTCCATTTTATTTGTATATGTGGCTGGAATAATTTTAAAAACACAAACTTACTTGTCGCAGGAAAAAGCACCGTCGTTTCGTGTCGATCGGTACTGCAACGGCGGAGATATCGGCGTAACATACGGACTGCTTTTCGTCTTTATGTAATAGATTATCAGTTAGAACCTTTTCAACTCGACACCAAACTTTGGCCAAAAGAGTTATTTGTTTATAAATTTCGCGCAAAGTTACTCGAGGGCTATCTGTTTCTAATGCAGAAGTAATAGACTAGAGGAAAAATAAATAGTAAACTCCACCTACTGCCAACTCTTAAACTACTCTTTACCAACGCATAGTAGGATTTGCCGTCAAATTATAACGCCCAGACGGTGATGAGATTCGAATCCGCGACCCGCAAATAGTAAGTCGAGCGCCCTAACCACCAGATCATGCAAGGTCAGTCAAGTGAGGTTGGTTTTATATTAAAACCATAGCAAAAGTAAAATAAAAAATTAATTTCCAAGAAAAAGATCACAAAAAAGACTATTTTAATATCAAAATTAGAATGTATTGTAATATCATAAGCGTGTTTTTGCGTGTTTTAAATTATTATTCCATACTAAAGTAAACTTAAACTTTAAAATACCCCTTCAAATTTCTTTGATGTTCATGAAATGAATTTAAATGTGTAACATTTTTTGAAGTTTTTTTTCACATGGCCAAAATTTTGAGTTTTTTAAATTTGTTTTCGTAAAAGTCGTTCTCAGTATACAGTCAAGCAGATGTTAAAAAGTATAAAATTAATTGTTGTCAGTTATAATACTGTCACCATTAAGTCTTTTCTCATTAGTTTGATGTAAAAGCGATATTTTAATTTAAAATGGCTAACACGGTGATCAGTTAGTTGTCCTAAACAACTTATTTTAATGAAATCAGAATGAACTGAAAAACAAACGCTCTACAGACTTAATCAAAATAAATCTCGCAACTTTTCTAAATTAGTTCATTTAAGTCGTATAACTAAGACAGAATATACACTTAACCACATATAATGTAAAAAGTAAATATTTATTTTTACTTTTATATAAAATTTCCAAAAGTACCCTGTGGCGAAAATAAAAAGTTATGTTCAGACGACAGATTACGCGGTTAAGTCTTACTTAATGTTTCACTATGTCTAAACGTACACAAATCGATGAAACAATCCAAAAGTATTTTACAAAGAAGGAATGGGAAGAAATGTGCTCTTATGAAAAAATGCGTTATACCAACATTAAACTGAACTATGACATGATGTGCAAATTAGGTAAGGCCATTAATTTCCCGCCATTACTAAAGTAAATGTGAATGCTAACTTTAAGGCCTAAGCTTATGATAAAAAAGTCCCTAACTTTTACTTTAGTAATACTAATAGTAATATTATTTTTTACTTCTCATAATACTCAATGAAAGCTGAAGTATGTTACATATTACTAACCAAAGATATTAGTTATAGAGATAAAATGACCGGCACTTCGGCATTAGTCCTAACTTACGTACTTAAACTGCTAAAAGTTGACAAAGTGGATATTTAGATGTCGCGCAGTTGGAATAGGTATTTAGTTACTATTTATTTCATGTTGTCACTATGCCGTGATTTGTCAATGAGTACAACGTTAGCGATTAGCAATACATCAGCATAATGAGCGGTTCACAGTATGTAAATATTTTGACTTCCGAAGCCTATTTTCTGAGCGAAATGTACCCACGTGTCCTAATTCTCTTGTTTATTAATAAAGAAAAAAAATCATCTATTCGCAAAGAGAAGCTTCAGGAGACGCCATGTAGAAAGAAGAAAACACATCTTCCCTTAAAGTTAAACAGGAATGTGTATGTGGAGACGCCATATTTAACTAACTTGCTGTTTCCCTCAAGTTAATGGCAAGATTGATCGAGATTAGCCAATTCTATAAGCGTGAAAAGCAGACTTAAAAACAGAGAAAGACTTCAAGGGGTGGCATGGGGCAGGTTTGAAGAGTGATCCCCTGTGACACTCCCCAGTTATCCCCCAGGGCGTATGCTAAGTTTGGTTGCGAACGGCTAAAAAATGTATTTGGTAAATTTAAAAGCCAACAGCAGACGACATTTCTGTTTTTATATATATATAGGTACATGCCTAAAGTTAGGCCTATGGATAATTATATCTAATAGGTTAATGTTACTGTAGTATAATCTCTAATTTAGAAGTAGTTATGGTTTAACTTGTTAGCCAAGGTCGTATGATGGACTATTTCAGAGGTCAAACACCGGATTATTTTTCAGTGAAGATAAAATTATTTTAATTTTTATTGAGACTGTAAGTGGCAACAATATAACTGTCAATACAGTGGAACTAACTTAGAAAGAAAAGTCAGTGTACAGCTTTTTGAGTAGATTATATTATTTTTCAAACTTTATAACAACCTTTCGACCACTCCTATGGTCATTAAAATTAAACTATACATTGGATTTCCTCTCCTTACAACAAAGATCTAATTTGTGTTGGGATTGGCGTTTCCATTAAGATCGTAGGCCTAAGTTATCTTTTAAGATAACCTAAACAAATGTATTGAATATCACTTTAATTACTGCATCATTTAATAAGCGTTCAACCGTAATTGACTAAACATAAAGTTAGTTACCTAGGCTAACATAAAACTTAAGTTATACCAAAGCTTTTGATTTTAATATTGACTCTTGAAAAGATGCAAGTTAGCTTAAAAATGTTAGGACATAAAAATTAAGAATATTATTAATATTATCTTATTAAAAAATTATCAGAGTTTAAATAAATGTAAATCAACTTGATATCTAATTCTAAATTTATATGGGAATAATTACTAAGCCTAATTTATTTAAGGCTATAAGTTGAAAAATAAGATCTATGTTACAAGTTTTTTCTTTCAATGTGTTACTTAACTTTTAATGATACGGGAAAGATAGCCTCATCAGTTTAGGCCTAATAACAGTTAGGCTTAACATTAGTTTCCATGACACCTGTTTCTTTAACTTACTCGAATGTTCTAACTTAAACTTTTATTTATTTTAATACTAACATATAGACCTAATATCTCAAGGTTAATTGAATTAGGGTTAAATTATAATTATCAGGCAGACAGTAGCACTGCCTACGTAGGGATGGCCCGGATTGTTCATCGATATAGTATTTTAAATATATCCTCAATAGGTCATCAGATCTTTACAATACTATACAGTGTTTCCTTTTATAACAATATCTATGTAATGACTGAGTCACAAGTTCTAGGAATGTCTGTAAATATTATAGAAAAAAGTTTTAATTTCTTGTTCTTCTTCCTTCTGTTTCTTTTTTATTACATGTTAACTCAAAAACCAAAACAATAGTGTCAACCAATTTCACTGAGGTGACATAGTTTCAAACGGATTATCCGCTTTTATAAGTATTATTAATAACTAGTAGTAATTAAAAAATCATAATTCTAATGTAAACGATGTTATCATTACCCCCTTGTAGTTAGCTTTCTTACAGAAATTTGGTGTTCCTTTAAAAAGGGTGAAACAGGAATTACCAACCAATAATAGATAAACAGTAAATATTACAGTTGGAACCTCATTGTATTTAGAACTTGGTTATAAATATAACTTTCCTATGTCTAATAAAACACTGCTTTAAAAAATAAGCAAACAAGTCAAGAAAAAGCATTTTAAAAAAGTAAATAAACGTAGGGATGGATGATATCAATCCTTCAAAAAAAAATGTAGACGAGATAGTAGGGATTGCATTTGCTGTTTGTAGTTTAAAATAGTCTTGACCATTAGATAGTTGTTGTTTTACCTCCACTATATACAGGTCCTCGCGCCATACGACTATAATACCACCTTTGTCTGCTGGTTTGATGGCGATGTCATGTCTATCTTTAAGTTCTTCGATGTGTTTTTTTTTTTCTCTCATCTCTCTGCAGGTTGTGTTTAAACGTGTGTTTATTAGAGACATTTAGGTTGTTGATTTCTTCTTGACATTTATCGATAAAATACTCTAAAGCTGGAAATTTTCCTTGGTTAGGTGTCCAGGTGTTATTGTGACTTTCGAATGGAAAGATATCATTGTTCTCGTCAGATGGATTTTGGTTATTGTCAACAGAACTGTTGTTGATGAAGTGGGTTTGTAAGCCTAAACGGCGAAAAAAATTGTGCGACATCTCTTTTGTTGTTGAAGTCATCAGCATGATGGCATGTAGGAACAAATTTAAGACTTTTTCTCAAACTGATCTTTTAACGTCTGATAGTGGAAGGTCAGGAGGGATGTTGATGACCTGATTGGGTGAAGCAGTCAATGGACTTTTGGTTTGAGGCTTACTGCTCTTGATATGGTCTGTTTGAACTTCGTGGTTTAACTGGTTAGATGTTTGTTCGATATTATGTCGAATAAGTCTTATTAGTTGTGGGTGTAGCCCATAAACAGTATAATAATGATTTTTAATGTTTTGTAAGTTTTTTTAACTTATGGAATTTTACGTTATTTAATGTGATAAACTACTTTTCATTTAGTTCACGGATTTTCATGTGTTGAACGTGACGTCTCTTTGTCAGTCATTTCATATAGATGACGGCATTGATATAAAAGGTTTTGAGATGCAAAAACACTTTGTTGGATGACAGAGTGAAAACAAACACGTATTAAGTTTGTGGAACACTAGGTGAGTATCTTGGTGACTATAAAGTTCCTCATGGTTAAACACAAGTGGATGAAAGTTTAGTCGAAAACCATTAGGAAATAATACGATTGCATAAACAAGTACTTAATAAAAGTAATGTGACAATAGTACCTTGTTTTTGACAAAGTGGAGCGAAAAAGATTAAGTCCACAAAATAAAATAGTCTGAGAATGATTGTAGGAAGGAAATCGTGCTATGATGTAGACTTGTATTGATGTTTAGGGTTAGTCATGTTATATTCGTTGTTTATATAGAACCGCAAAAATATATTTAAGAAGAAAAATCAGCTAAAAAAAACTCTTTGGTACGATTAAATCGAAAACAAAAATTGGAAAAACTTTTAATGCGAAATAGATGCCTTAATATTCACAGAGTTTCGGGCTTGGACGCCCTTCCTCTGGTGATTTTAAACTGTTATGGAATAGAACGTTCGAAATTAACATCATGCAACAGATCTAATATAACATACACGTGAAACACTGGGAAAACAAAGTTTGTACAATATGATAATATATATATATATATATATATATATATGAGAATAAGAGTCCAAATAGGAGTAAGAATCTATATAAATACAATAGTACTGTCTGTTGTCTGTCCATGTAACTACTTCACAGAACATGGATGTATCTTCACCCAAATTGGTATGGCGGTATTAGGTCCATGCGGGGATACATACAAATTTTCAGTTTTTGCTGTTTTTATGGACGTTTTTACCACT